GGCCAATATTAACATATGGATGTCTGGTGTGGTGGCCTTCATTGAACAAACAGTGCATTGTTCAAAGACTAACCAGAATGCAAAGATCTGCCTGTGTGGGAGCCACTGGGGCTCTAAGATCTTGCCCCACCAGTGCGCTCAATGTAATACTTAACTTGCTACCTATTGATATTTACATCAAGCAAGCTGCAACTCTCAGCGCGCAGAGGCTTAATGATCTAAACTGTTGGCGCTCGAGTGCTTTAGGACATGGTAATATCGCATCACTCTATCCGATAGATGATGTCAGGGTTTCAGACTACCTATGTCCTCGGTTACTATTCGATAATAACTTCGCCACCATAATTCCTTCAAGAGGAGATTGGGAGGCGGGTTTGCCTACAACTCTAGGAAAGATAGCGATCTACACCGACGGGTCTAAAATGGATGAGGGCGTTGGAGCCGGAATCTTTTCTACGGACCTAATGATTAGTAAATCATACCACCTCTCAGATTCCACCTCAATATTTCAGGCTGAAGTTTTTGCCATCCTTAGGGCATGTGTTCTTGCTTTAAATATGCGCCTTCACGGAAAAGAGGTCTGTATTTTAACTGACAGTCAGGCAGCTATTAAAGCTTTATCAGCAGTCTGTCTGTCATCAAGATTAGTAGAAGAATGTAAGGAAATTATTTCTGAACTAAGTGAGAGGTCCAAGGTTACTCTAGTGTGGGTTCCCGGGCATTCTAATATTGTGGGAAATGAGCGCGCCGACGAGCTTGCTAGGCTAGGCGCCTCTTCCACGGGTACCCCTATTTCGATCCCTGCCCCTGTCAGCTACGGGCGTAGGCTGATTTGTGACCATTTTTTGCGAAAGGCAAATAGTGAGTGGACCCTTACTCTGTCAGCAGCCAGGTCAAGGGCTACTTGGCCCATTTATTCCAAATATAGAACCTCTGACTTAATCTGTAGAAATAAATCTGAGGTTTCTAAGCTAGTATCTATCTTTACGGGTCACTGGTCCATAGGACGGCATGGAGCCAGACTTGGCCTTTCCTGTGGTACCTCATGTAGTGCGTGTCTACCAACACTTGAAGAAATGACACCAGAACACCTGATGTGTTTTTGTCCAGGTCTGGCCAGAACTAGGTTTAAGTTTCTAGGGGCCCCTTTCTTCAACTCACTTAACGATATCTCCAGCATCAGCATTAGCCAGATTCTTGCCTTTGTTAATGCCTCTGGTTGGTTCTAGTTTGACTCTCTATCTACTACCCACTTTTACGAGGTTTTTGTGGACTCAAAACGGCTTTCATCCTTAGCTATTTGAGGAGGATTCGTCCTCCCTCCACCACAACTAACTAACTATAATAAATAATTCTTATTCTACCGATTGCTATTTAAATTTGGAAAGCATAGAAAACGATATGCTCTGTAAATATATGAATATCAGGCTTAAAAATTAAATATTCTTTAAGTCATGTGGGTCATGTGCTCCGTAATAGGCCCCTGGAGCGCTACGCTTACGAAGAAGACTACAATAAATAATTAAGTAATAGGTACACTTAGAAAAATAGTTTGGTTGATTTGACCAGATTTTAACGAAGATTTTAATCTCAGGTTAAAATATTCTTACTCGACGCATCATGTTGGTGCCACCATACCATATGTTAGTTTTCATATCTTCTTTACCACATTACCAAAAATATTTATAATACATGTTCAGATAGCCAAGTTTCCTTAATTTCGTAAAAATGAAATTAATTTAATTTCGAAAGTGTTCATACTGCCCCAAATCATATGTTTTTTGTTTATAAATCAAATATTAAAAATTACATGCTATTAACAACATTTGTAACTGATAAATTTAAAAGTTGACTATTATACTTATAAAAGATGGCATTCTGTAGTTTTATTAGTTTTAGTAGATTTCAAGTATACGAATTATTATTTTACAGTCTATTTTTAATTAAGTTTTTTCCCTATATTTAAATTTCAAAACTTGCACTACTATAATTTAAATTTAAATAATTTGAATTATAACATAATTTCCTATTTTTTACTGAATCAAATTTATGACAGATTTGCAGTTTTAAAATTTAAGAAAAAGTTTTGCAAATAAACGGAAAAGTTTATTGGTTTCAGGCGAGTCACATGTTTCCACAACTTATGCTATACTTTAATACAAAGTACTTTCACACATTGTAAAAGTGTATGTCGACATCATAAAATATTTTTAATTTTAGAACCAAAATAGTTTTTGCACATTTGTAGCTAAATGTGAGATCCCAGAAGATTAATATCTGAAACTGACCTCAATTATTTTTTTAAGAAAAATCTTTTTTAAATGAATAAGAAAACTTTGTCTTTGGGCAACTTCCTGTGCAAAATCAAAGTTTTTTTATACAAAGGAATGCTAAATCTTTATGGACTAAGTATAATTTTAGTTTATAATTTTAATATCCATTCATATAGTTTAAACAAAAGGCTGATATGTGTATCATTTTTACGGTATAATAATTTTTGCCAAAAACTATTGCCAAAAGATTTTTATCATTCTACTTTTATTGCCTAATATTTAGGTAAATTTAGAATTGTAACTATTTTGACAATGGTTTTTGATATCGTATACTAAGTCAACTTAATTTAGTTTTCCTTTTCTACTTTTTAAAATCACTTTATTGCTACCATACCACGGGTAATATATGTTAAGTGAGTTGACATACATTGAGCGATAGAGTGCATCACTTAGAATGCGCGTGTTATTAGCGAATTTTATTAGGTTTCCAACAGAAACTTCAGGTATGTACACCAGTCCAGTGAAACTGACACCCCCTGACAACCCCTATTTTTATCAATTTCTCAATAGAGCCAGGTAGTTACACAACAGGTGCACCAGGGTTTCCTTTGCATCCGTCTCGTTACATTTCCTACAAGCAACGCTGCGAATAAGGTTTTGTTTGTGCATATGTAATGCGACCAGACAGTGGCCTGTCACTACAATAATTAATGTTCTACTGTTCCTACGGCTAGATGATATAACATCCTCGGTGTATTTTTTCTCATATATATGTCTACACATGATCCTAGCTATTCTACGTTTAATAACATAATATGTAATTAATTTTATTATCTAAGTAACTACTACCAGCTCTTAACCGTAGTATTGTTATATTAAAATTGTTGTGTAAAATCAAGAATTAAATTTTTTCCATATGAATTTAACAAGTCTAGTATCAGTTGAGTTAAATTTGAAATAAATCAAAAAAAAGGACATGATTTTTCTACAATATCCTTACATTGTATTTATTCAGTTCTACTATAAATTCAGGAGTCAAAAAAACAATGTGTAGCTAAAACAATATTTCGAATTTGTAACAATAAATTGGAATTCAATTTAATTTTTGAAACACAAATATGTGACAATATCGTGTTTACTTATTTGAGAATTAAACGAAAAAAAGTGTCCTTAAATGAAGCAAATATGCCATGAACAAAATAGAACCTGAAGGAAGTGAAAAATTCAATTGCAAAGATTTAAAAAAGAAATTAAATTGGAAGCTATATATAAAGAAAAAACATAAAAAGGTCAAAGTAACTACATTTTATTTTCAACAAAGGAAAAACAATTTGAGATACTTTGTAGATGCTTACATTTTTTTATTTAAAAAAAAAACAGAATTGTCAATTGATTTACAAATGGAGGCAAAAAAATGTTTTGTTATTCAATTTTCAGTCATTTGCACGTGACATTTCATTTTAAAAGTAGTTAACAGGAAGTAACGATATTTTTAACTTGATTTCTGAAAGTTACATTAATACACAAATAACTTCAAAGCGAAAATTGAAATTGGTTGGCTATGTACGTTTAATAGATATTACAAAGCAATTTGGTATACCTATGTTAATAAGAGATTAAACTATAGAAAGCGAATCCTATGGGAATACTCTTCCTGGTAAGGGATTAGAATATTCTCGAGGTAGGCATGCCTGTTGTAAGAGGCGACTAAAATTCCCACGCTATGCCGAAACTATTTTGGAGTGTACATGGTAGTAAGTAACACGGCACTTGCGACACCAGACAGGAGGTGTAAATCTGGCACTACGGGGGTCAGGTGCCCACAGCTCCTACTGACCTAGCCAATTGAGTTTACTTACGTACTTGCTGTTGTGCTCTTCTCTTCGTGGAGCATAGGATGTCTGCCATAGATCTAAACATAACTCTATTTGGTGCTTCGCGGCATATATCATTCCAGTTGTAATTTGCATTATTAAGTTCTCTGGTAGCAATGTTTTAAACTGATTTCAACAAAAACTATAATGTCAGAATATTTTAATCTCACCTTAGAACGTTCTTCTACAAGATGATTTGCTATTACATATGATGTTCTCTTAATCTAAATATTCCCTATTTGCATATTCATATTCCATATCCTACAAAATTATTGTAAAAATGCATAGCTTTAAGATATTTTCTTTTTTTTATTGTATTTATTAGAATTGATTAGATTCTTAGAAATGCTTATTGAAATAATTTGAAGCAAAAATATTTCAATTAATTTAAAAGATAATTAATATTTATTAATTACAATATATTTTATACATAAAATATTATATGCACATTTAGTATGTTCACACTCAGAATTGGAAGAAAAATAATTTTCTAATTTATTGTTGTAATTAAATTTATATTATTTATTTAAAATCTCAATTTTAATTGCCTAAATTTTAAGTGAAACTCACTGTTGCAGTTTGTTAGTTTTCGTTTGAGTTTTTGACAATTAGTAGGAATTCAAACTTATCAACTATTTTAATATAACTTTGTTAATTATTATCTTTTCTTCACAAATATAATATGTTACAATAGATACAAATACGAAAATAGCAAACATTAATAAATTGTATATTTTAATGATTGAAACTTTAGTACATTTGATTAGTTTAATTATAAAAACATTTAATTTGAAAAAATTTTCTGATTAACAATAATCTATTAATCTATTCAAGCACATTCTCATACATGTCCAATTCTCGATTTCTATTTTATTTAAATCACAAGTATACGATTTAATTAGCACAAATCATTAATAAAGCAAATTCTTAAATTACATACACTACTTATACTTCACAGCATACCCTTTTCACTTCTTTCACTCTATACGGAATCAGCCAAACGGCGTTGCCATCTGACGTTATCACGACCACGTCCTCAAAGTCTCGGACTGTCAAGCATCGTTGTAGTTGAGATGACAGTGGCACCACTGTTTGCCAGAGCAATGGAATTTCCCGCAACTGATAAATTCGTATCATTTTTGGGACGCTTGCGCCAAAATCGTCCGTGATTGAAGTGCATACCTTTGAATGTATCTAGAAAAGCTCGCCGGAAACCCGCATTCATGAAACAATATGTAATTGGATTGCAACAGCTCGATGAGTACGCAAGTAAATGGAAAAAGCTAATTGAAGTGTAGTCAACATATTCGTAAATTGCAGGTCCAATAAACATAGCCACAGTATTGATGACATACAAAGGTGTCCAGCAGATAAAAAATTCTAACACAAGTACGAATAACATTTTGACAACACGCTTTTTGCTCTCAAGATTTTTCGTTTCATTAGATCTATTGGTGAATTAAATAAGAAATAATAAAAGAATTAAATTTGAAGATTAGTTTAATTCAAATTCAATTAATGTTTTGTAATATTGAGTAATATATTTTAATACTAGTAGTAATATTAAAGGATTTTGCAAAAGATTTTTGTGTTAATTAATTAATTAATTTGTAAAAAATCTCATGACAAGAAATATATGATTTATCTTAACAGCTCAAAAAACTATGTTTAATTAATTTTTTTAGTGGACAAATCCAAGAATGGCACTTAATGGAAGTAAAAAGTCCTTATTCCTAATAAAAAATAAAATCCTTAGTTACAATAAATTAATATTTGGATTTTATCTTCATTGCAAATAAAATTGATTAAAGTTATTTTAATCTAAAGAGCTGTACTAAAGCACTTTTTAATACATAATTTCGTAATTAATTTAATTCAAAAAATGCAGTTTTTTTAATAAAGCAAGTAAAACTCACTTAGAGCTATAGTGTGAAAGTTTTAACTACGCACAAAGGATTTCAGAGTTCATTCTCTCAGGACAAATCTTGTTAAATTAATTTGAATTTACAAAGTGCTTAAACAGGATTCCTTTTTGCAATTGTCCTGTACATCCTTTACTTAATTTGTTCATACAGTTAAAAAAGTTAAAGCAATTTTTCACACATTTCCTGACACTTACCGCCTTAGAGCTGCTTCCTGTGTTATACGTAAACTTGGCGTTGAATTCGATTTACGGCGGTCCACATCGCACTGTAGATGATGTTGTTGGCGTTGCGAATGCAGCTTAAATCGTTGTTGTTGTGGCACGTTAATCACAGTCATGGACGGTGATGGAGAAATTCCGCCCACGCTACTCCCATTAATGGTATTGCCACCATTGTTGTTGCGATTCACTGACTTAACTGACGATGAGCGCATACAGTACAAATATCGACGTCCATCAGATGCGGTTAACAACTTTCGTTTGCTGCCTTGTTGAGTAATGTCATCTGTTGAGAAGATGCACAAAAAAAAATGGAAGAATTTAAGTAAGAAAAATTGGCAGGACCTTAATTAGTGGTAAAATACACATATGTCCAATTGTTAGAACACAAAAACCTCATTATGTGCAGAGACTTAATATATTATTATGCAAGGAAATAAATTAGAAATACATTATACTGAAACTGCCACAGATGGTTTCAATAGGGTGAGAATGGTAATTTGACCTTTTTTTGTAAATAATTAGATAATTAATAACAGTTGTTTTTAACTTTTTTTATCAATTTTAAAGTTAATCATAAAAATGTATAAGTAATTTAATAAGTTTGCTATTTATGGATATCAAACTTCTTTCTTAATATCATAACAAAGTCGCCAATTTTATTCCAAAAAATGTTGTAAGCAACCACATTATAATACATTCAAGTACTCGTAATAAGAGTAATATAAATATTAATAATTAAAAAGTCATTGAATTACTTATCACCAACTTATTTCTTCTCTATCAACGCATAATAGATATCAATTTAAATGCTCCTCTCTTGCAATGACGGAAACTGAAACGCTAAATGTGTCAAACAAAACCGCAGATATTTCCAATAACCACAAGAAAGGCATATTTGCGTTTAATTTTCAATTTAATCAAAAAGCCTGCTACATATTTCATCATTAAATTATAAAGGTGATACAAGGCAATTTCAATAGATACAAGGACAGAGTCAGAAAACATTCAAAATATTTTTTAATTAAATTTCAGTCTAGTGTGTTAAAAGAGAATGTTTATGAGGTTATTTGGAATTGTAGTTAATAATAACGTAGTAGTTCAACGACTATTTTATATGATACATAAAAAAATAATATAAAAATATATTTGAATGACAAAAATCCTTGAAACCCTAATATCTACCTGCAAGTTTAATGTCTAATATTCATACATACAAAAAAATAATAAAGCAAATGCAATATAAATTGTTTAGCTCATAAAATATAATCCTAAAAATATTTTCAATATCTGAGCATAATTAATATCAATATGTGTCTAATAATTTTCGAGAACTGTAATATTCGTATTTTAAGCTCTTGGGAGCACTGCAAAAATCAGTTATATATTGCTGAAGTGTGCCTTTTTGGTAATTTAGTATTTATATTTAGTAAGCTAAATATTATTATGAAAAATATATTATGAAAAATCTATTATGAAAAATCACATTGCATAAAAAACTATTGTAAATATTTCAAAAATATAACATGATACCCATTAGCTGCCCTTGCATAGTACTCTTAATTTTATACATAATTCAGTTTTAGCTAGTTAAATAATTGAATTAAATATAATATTTTCATAATTATATTATATTATTATAGATTAATTTTTAATAAATAGTTAATAAATTAATCATATTATAATTATAATAACAAAATATTTGTTGTTGTCTTTTCATTTTTATTCGAACCCTTCTAACTTACGCATTATGTTTATTCAACCATGCCGCATATTGGTTTTCACATCATCTTTATCACATAAGGTAAAGTTTTTCTAACAAAATGAATTATGAGAACATTCATAGTCCTTACTATCTATTTAGATCGCTTATTCTTTTATACTTGATATATCTTTGAGTAATACATAATTTATTATGTCCATTATATATATACACTAAAAAAATTCATTCTTAGTGAATTTTCAAGTAAAATGAAATAAAATTCATTGCTATATCCTTTATAAATATTTTGTGTAATTAATAATGATTATATTGTACAAGATAATTTAGCTAAACACCATGAAATGTCGTAAAATTACATGACTTTGAAATTACATTTTACAAATTCTAAATACGTAAAATGCGACACCATGACGTATGAGTAACATATAATAATTTTGGTAAGACTTGAAAAATATCTTTAAAATAAATGATACATTTTAAAATATATTTAGAATGAAATAGAAATATAAATTATAAATAGTATGTATTTTTATTAAAACATAAATACAATTTTAATAATAAATGTTATGTGCATTATATCTTTATTTTTATTATGTGTATTATTAATTATTGAATATTCGTTTATCTTCAAAATTCTTGATTATTTCTTTATTATTTAACTTTTACAGGTAACTTGAAGTGAAATACATCCAAGCTATCGTGTTTATTACATGCGGTAAGTACTTAAACCTAAAGTTTAAATAAAAGTTTATTTCATTAATTTATTCAATTTAAATATATATCTTTAATGGTGTATGCAAAAAATGTAAAGAAACAAAATAATAATAAAAAAATGTGTTTCAAATCAGTTTCTCATATTATAGGCAATAAGTTTAAAGCAATGAAATAATAAATAAAATAAATACTAAATGAAATTTAATTAACATTTAACAATTTTGTGAATAAATGATATTGATGACTGCACAGTAAAAATTGTTTACAATTTAAAACCCGAAATGTATAAGAACAAACCGAAAATAGTCTTATATACTACGTTACTAAATATATTCGGAATATAATAATAAAAAATAATAACAAATGGATTTTTAGTTTAACACTCTTGTAAAAACAAACGTCAAACGTATGCATCACTTCAATCAAGAAATACAGTTAATTGTTTATAACTTTTATGATTTTTACTTATTCTTCTAAGAGAGAGGTTTCGAGAAACAAAATATTTATTTATTTTTAATTGATTAAATTTTTGACTGACCTTTTGACTGATTTTATGGTTTATTCTTCTAAGTAGTTACATGTATATTAATATTTTTTTTCAAGTTTGGAAACAATTGTTGAAGTGGATTTTCGGAATTACTTCCAAAGTTCTCAACGTTTCGCTTTTCAACGCCTCCATTATATTGAAACTATGTTCCCGCAATGGTCTCTTGAGCTAAGAGAATAGCCAGAGGTCACACAATACTAAATCAATCGAATATGATATTGTTTACGATATGAGTTGTGTGAGTATTTGGAAATTATTTCAAAGAAGCAATGAAATGATGCTAGATTATAATGTTGCGAAAGTAACGAATTCAAACAGCATTTTACAAATAGAATCAATATCATTAACTAATATTATTTATAGTTATGTGTAATATTAACTTGACTAGCCGGTTGTTTCAATAGCGTATACATTATCTTATCTTATCTTGTCTTATCAATATCATTAACTAATATTATTTATATATAATATTATATATAATATTAACTTGACTAGTCGGTCAATATCGTGTACTTTATCTTATCCTGATGATCAAAAAGTATAGTTTAACATATGAAAAGATTCTTTTCTAAATAATTGAGATCTTAGCACCAAACGTGACTAAAACTGGAGTAAAGTGATTCAAAAGAAATCTAAACAGTATCATCACAATAACCCTTAAATGATGCAGTGACGTGTTGACATAGTTTCCAACACTTTTCTAAATCTATTCTAACAGTATCATTGATATCTCTAATTGCCAATTAATAGTTATTGAGTAATAAATCTTTGACTTGCTTTAAGTGTCAGTATTTATTTTAAGTTTCTCTAACAATTTCTTTATATATTTATATTCTGCACTTGATAAATCTGTAAGATTTATCAATAACTGCTGCACTTATGGGCATAAAAACTTCTAATCAAAAAAAAAATTGTGATATATAAAATAATATAAAATACTTCTAAGAGGGTGACTAAAAAAATGTCCTTCTATTATATGTACATATTTGAGTATTTTAACCATATGCACTGCCCCTTAAGTACTATAGACAAATTTGCAAAAATACCCATTAGTATGTTGTTTATGTATCCTTTTTTAATTTTTTCTTCAAATTAATTAAATTCCTTTTTGCTATACTTTTTGCTTAAATTATAGATTCAATCATACAAATACAAAGTTCTGCATATTTTAAATTTTTCTTCGTATATAATACCTATTTTAGAAACATATTTGCATTTACATTAGCTGAAAATGGAGCTAAAAGATGCTGGCACATTTTTGGAACATAAAGTAATCTCGCTTTTAATTCCAACCATTCATTTGAATAATTCCCAGCAAAGAAGCATGAAAATGTGCTTATATGCAGACAGAGACAGAGACAGAAATTTGCGTAAACATAAAAACAAGAACTTATTTAAATAATTCCGTTCCCATATGCAGAAAAATAATCCGAAGTTCTTATCCACAGAGAAAAGTTTTTACATTGTATCAGGGACTTGATAAAGAACATTGATCTGTGGTAAGAAATATGTTCGCTTCACAGTTTCCAAGAATTTGTCTCAAAATTTTGTATCTTTTAAAGTCGCATTTCGTTTTCCGTATACAACTTTGTACATCCTTCCACCAGCGTTTGTTGTGGAAAACAATTTAACATTGAATTCCTTCCAACAATGAAACTGCTCGAGAAGCACATTTTAATGCTGATAAATTTTTCGTGTTACTTTTCTAATAAATTTTCACTTGTACCAATATTCTTGGAGATTGTTAACAAAAATACTAAATTGGAACTTATTTTGCACTTCAGCATATAATTTCCACAACTGTTAACTTTTCTAACATTTTTGATGTTTTTTATTACAAATGATATAATCTTCCCCCAAATATTTAATAAAATCGCTTGACTGTCTTCACGAAATATAGTATTTATCATATATTCTTATGTGGCAGAGGTCCTGCAACTTACCATAACACTGTTGTTGTTGATGTTGTTGTTGTTGTTGTAGTTGTCGTTGATGTTGATGTTGTCGCTGTTGTTGTTGATGTTGTTGATGCTGTTGACGTTGTGTTTGTGGTTGTTGCTGGTATACCATTTCAACTTCCGCATTATTGTTTGCATTATTGCCGCCTACAGTTGTGCCAACAGCACCATTGCCACCATTGCGGGAATGGCAACGGAATGACATATTCAAATTAAACCCGAACGATGGCATTGGTGACGTGGTAACTGTAGCCACTGCCTCAACTTGTGTGCTGACTTTATTCGAACTGCTACCGAATATCATAGCCCGCTCATTCTTCATGCCCACATAAAGTGTACGAGTTATTAGTATATAAGCCACGCACAGTATTAGCAGTGGTAATACAAGTAAAATGAGATCCAATAAAATGTTGTACGAGCGTTCATAGCCGATAGCATCTCGAGGCCAGTTTTCGCGGCATTTACGTAATCCTATTAATACAAAATAAAAAAAAAAATAAACAACAACAATAAATGAATACGTAAAACATTTTGTATGAGTGTGTAAATATATTTCAGATCATTTAAGACCTACAAAAAATTTCTTTTAAAAAGCGAATTCCAACAAAATATAAAAAAATAGAACAAATAAAAATCCTAAAAAATCACAGTGTGACGCTGTGACATACAAAATTGGAAATTTAATTAAGTACTTTGTGCTCTGTTTGTACGGTCATTGAAATTGTTGCCAATACATTTAAACCTTATCACACTGCCAAGCACTCCGTCATGTAATGCGAGTTGGTGTCATTTCGTTTAGATACAAAATGTATCTGATGTTTTTAATTTATTTTAACTTAACGCAATTTGGCCCATTTTAAGCCAATTTATTTTGTGGTTTCATTTACAAAATTTTCACTTCGTGATGATAATATTTAAGTGCCCTATTAAATATTTATAATTTTTTTATTGCAACCATAAAAAACGCACATTTAGTGCGACTTTAGATGTGAGCAAAAATTAGCAGTTTTATCAAAAAAATGTAATTTAATTTGATTTACTGTAGTGGTAGATGAAGAAGATGAAGAAATAAACTTTATTTTTACTTGAACTTAAATTTTGTATGCATATAAGAGGTTAGACATTTCTTACGATAAAATAATTAATTTGAAACGCTTCTGAAATAACAATTTTAAAGAACCACAAAAGATTTATTATTACAGAATAAGTGGCTAAATAACCTATTTTGGTGCTTAAGACAAGTATATACAATTTTAGAAAATTCAAAAATTAATTTAGATATAAATTTTTGTATAAATTTTATTTTAAAATTTTAGTTGTTTTTGCAAGATGGAAAAAGGAAAAAAGTCTATTTTCAGTTGTTTTTTTCAATATAAATGATGTGTAAGAAAAATCTAATACCCAAGAAAACTAATTCAAAAAACACTCAACATCACATTCAAACGCTTCAAGCTAGAACTTAAGCAGTGGCGCATCAAGGGAACCGGATCAAGAAATGAATTCCCCCTTTGAGAATAGGTATAATCTTCATATAATACAGTATTATATTTTTACATCAATACCTAATAACTTAACACTTGTCGTGTGTGGAGTAGATAGCCTATTTTAACTAATGATTTATTTAGTTATTATAAATTAATCAAAAAATAACAATCAAGACTGTCATATACTTTATATTTCATATGTCGTATATATACATAAGCGAAAAGCCACAATTAAAAAGACTTTAAGGAATAGAAAAGAATAGAACATACATACGGGAGTTAGGAACATAAACGTCCAGTATTTTACGGACGTGATCACCTGACTTGAGTACTCAACACCACGGTGTTAGTCACAATTAATTTCGTTTATAGGGTGCTGCCTCTTAACGGAACAGAAAAATATTGCTTTGGCTTATCTTTTATGTTGCTAACTAACCCTAACTGCACAAAAGATACTCCACGTTTTAAATAAAATCCAAAATGTCGGCTATTGAGAAGCTCCTTATATTACATGAAAATAGGAACCTTCAGCCTAGTAATATCCTCCTGGCCCAGATCAAACCAGACAGTCACAGAAAATGTGACTAGAGGCTTTATTATTCTCCAAAAATTAGTTTCTAGTGACTAGAGGCTTTATTATTCTCCAAAAATTAGTTTCTTTATACATACTAGTCTTGTTAAGATGATAACGCATACCATTTTGATCAGTTACATTATATTCTATATACAGGCGCTTTAGCCTGAAAGTTAACTGGAGTTTCGCATCTGTAGTGACTTCTTTCGATTAGAAACCACTTTCCATCTTACACGTTATTGTAAACCAATTTATTCCATTCTGCAGCTAGTGTCAACAGAATTGAGCCAGCGTTCCAGTCTTTGCGATATTACTTACGGATTCGTTGAATTCGAATACTTTATTCCCAAAGTCAAATTTTTAAGATTTGCAATTTTGAGATTAACTACACATATTATCTCCTTGTTATTGCTGAAAACCTTTCCATTTATTTTTGTTTTTTTGGAGATAACCACGTTGCTCAATTTGGCAAACAAGTTGCTCCACGAACTTCTTTGACACCAAAAAGCGCAGAGAAATTAATGGTTTCTTCAGCAATTCGATCTCGCACGTTGTTATGATGCAGAAAGTATCGGCGTAGGGATTTGGGGAACATTAGCTTCACAAATTTCTTTGTTACTGAAGACTGCAATGAAATTGTTCGGTTCTTCAACAATAAGATTTAGAAGGTTTTTGTGATTTCATTTTCATTTTTTTTTGAAATGTTCATATACGAAATGTTCGAAAACCTTTGATAAGAAATTTCACCATCCCATAAAACAGTTATCATATATCCATAGCTCAGAAAACTAACAACTGCCACTTTCTCAATGATGGAGTAATTTTTACATTATTGCTTTTTTACCCATTAGTATTACTTAAAGCTGAAATAATACCTTTTGGGCTTTATACTATCGACTTTGTCTTCTTTCTTAGTCGTACTTGAAACAGGTGATAGCTTACAATTATTTACTTACTAGCTTACAATTACACACAATTGCTTACTATTACAATTTTTTTTTTAATTCAGTGGACACCTCAGTTAAAATTGATAAAACCCAATGTCCCTTTATTTGTGCATCCAAGATATCTGTTCAATATTCGTAATACAAGCATGGTACTAAAGCTCAATTCGTTAGTTACTTTTTCCTGCATCAATATTGAATCCCCATCACTCTTGTAATTCACTAGAGCTACACTTACAGCATCAGTCATAGAATTTTAGCGAAGTTAGGGTTCCACAAAATATTGTTCGTTCTGAAATTTTCAAAACCAATTCAAGATTGTCACAAGTGTGTTCTCTCAACATGTTATTTGACAGTTATTTAATATTTCCACAGGTTTTGGAATCATATAAAAACACTTAAAGAATGGCATATCGAATACGTGGCTATGATGACGGGAAATTTGCACCGACTCTCTTCATTAAGTTTATTAAGATTTCTTATTGAAGTTATTAAGACTTCATTAAGATTTCTTGTTTCTGCAAGTAATTATTGCAGTCAAACATTTAAGTAAAACTTTGTCAAATCAATTGGAATTTTTTAATTTTTAGGACATTTGTTTCGCGTTGTCAATTCAGCAAATTCTTGTTAATCCCGCATATTTATATAGCTGTTTGTTTTCTAGATAAAAATTCTCTGTGTTTCAAAGTATTTTGGTGTTTTCATCAAAGCAGTAATATGTTATAAAAATTTAACATAAGCTTTTGAAATAACAAACATATAATTAAAAGAAAGTGCATTCAAAAACAATCAAGTGAAAAAATATAAACAAATAATGGTGTCCTTATATTGCTTTTACCACTTTTACCACTTAAGAACCACAAATGTCTAAAGCAATCACAATATGGATTATGTTTTACTTAATTCTCAATTAGTTATGTTTTCATAAAGTGAGTATGAAGTGCGAATAAAATTTTGATACTGGAAAATGTTCACTTAAAATTCAAACAATATGTCTAGACTTTTTGTTATGCAAATAGAATAAACAGTCAACCACATTTGCGGTTGTTGCCAAAGAGCAGATTTACAAAATCCTGAAACCAATTAATTTGTAAAAAAATAAATTAGTTTAATAAAATTAAATCAAACACAGTAGTTTTAAAATAAAGCTAATAATTCTACCACATGTTAATTAAAAATAAATTCAAAGCATTAATTAAATTATATAATTAAAATTTAATCAATCATAATTTTTAATTTGCTGCTAATATTTTATGAAAAATTGAGCTTAAACGGAATAAAAAGAATTTCACTAAATTTATAAAAAAAATTAGAAAATAAAGTATAATAAAATAAATTATAATAAATTTATGCAATCTATATGGCATTTGCCATATCGGCGTATGCCCACATTTATTTTTTCTACATACCTTGTCTGCTGGTCGGAATTAATTGACTGAATACAGCAATGGGTGTCATGCAAACTATACTACCGAACCATATGAAACCGATTATTTTATAAGCATGATTTATTGTTTGCCATGTCCTAGAACGTAACGGGTGGCAGATTGCATAATAGCGTTCGCAGGATATCGCCACTAATGTCCATGATGAGACGGCAACAGATGCGGCTACAATGAAAAAAGAATAAAAATAAAAACATAAGAAGATTAACAATTTACATAGATAAATTTAATAATGAAAGTAGCACAGGGAACCATGAAACTTTTATGACAAAAATTAGCCTAATTAAGTTTATAGAGCAAATACCTAAAAGTAAGGAAACCCAGTTTTGTATTTGCTAATTTGAGAAAATAGGCAATTTTCTTGTGTAGACAATAAAAATTACAGTTTTTTATGCTTTTCATTATATTTTGTGTACTTTAAAGGCTGCATTTGTTTTTATTTTATTTGCGAATTTTATCGCTTCAAGCAAACACTTTAGCGAAATTACGAAATATCTTAGAAAAAGGGTCCAAAATGGTCTTAATTGCAAATTTGTGTTGTGTTAATAATAATTACTTTTATTGTAGTTTTCAATTAACTTTTCTAATTAGCCACCATAAAAGTTTTAAAATTTGTATTAGATATTTTATGTACACAAATTATATTTTCCATTTGTAAATATAAAAAGATATTTTGTTTTTATAAAATTTATTTTTTGAATATTACATGGAAAGAATATTAAGTCATTTGGAAATCTTAAATCAATTTAGTTTTAGATTCACTGGTAATGAAATTTCGAATATCATATAATTAGGGAGAAATTAGCATCCCACAAACACTTTTCTTCAGCAAATCAAAATAGTGTTTTGACGCTCTTCCAAAAGTATCGTAAATATTAGAACTATACTGAGAAATAATAATGTAATTAATATGCCTACAAGAGTATCCTCTTTATTTTATTTTTGGTCACCAATGACACTAAGTTTAAACTTTACTATGTTTGTCTATGTAAGACAAACTCATGTTAAATTGTACTAAGTGCAACTAAAGTAGTAAATAAGCAATTATCTGCAGCTTTTCCTCCAAGAAACAATTTATAAGTTACAATTTAATATTAGTTTAGACTAGATTTAATAAGGAGCTGGGAACTATATCAACACATCACTGCATCCTTGAGGTTTAACTACCACTAGAGATTGGATCATAATAAAAGCCGTTATAATGCCGCATAGCAGTTTAAAATAACAATACGTCACTTGGAGAGATGCTACCTATTACCGTTATAAGTAGATAGGCAGTTGATAAATGCCGTGGTCTGATTCTAACGAGACTATCGCATTGAGAAAGAATATGTTCTGCTGTTTTCTTTTTTTCATGACAAAATCTGCAACTAACATCACTTATAATACCTAGATTTAATAGATTCTACTTAACTCCGCAATGTTCAGTGAGAAAACTATAACAATCCGAATACCTTTCCTGTTCAGCATTATCAGCTAATGCTGATACCATGCTTTTAGTCTTTGAGTGATGTGGCATAAATTCTTTAACTTGTCTACAGACAGTTACGTTATCCCAATCAGTCTGAATTGCTCTTTCAAGCCATTCATTAATTTTGGGCTTAAAGAAGCTCCATGAAGTCCCGCAGAATGGTCTTACCCTAATAAAGTATGAGCCTCCCCTCTTTCTGTAATGGATTTAAAATTATTAAAATACTAATTTTTAATTTTCACATTATTACTTCTTTTAATATACTTCAAACGTGAATGGTCTAAAACTTAAAGTGATATTGATTTTAAAAAAAGCTGATGATGGGTATTTGGAAATACTGGAAATGAGTCCAACGTACCATTATGTCTAGAAAAATAAAGCTAATAACTATGAAATTACAAACACATTGTTATAGTTAAATGTATAATGGAAATAGATAGCTTTTTAAAAACCATTGAAAGGTTTTATTACTTCGACGGTGTTATGCCAAAACAATATTCGTAATAAGTAAGAAGATTATAAGATGAAAAAAATTGGAATATAAACGGTAGATGCTTGAATATCTTCTAACAAAAACTATCCCAAACAAAAATTTATTCAAATGAATTTGTAGTAACAGAGATAAAATGAAAGAGATTGCCATATATAGTCTAGAAGCTTCAATATCTTCTGACCAAAAACTATCTCAAACAAAAATCCATTCAATGAATCGGAATAAAATCAAAAGAAATGCTATACTCGTATAAAGGGTAAACTCTTCAATATCTTGTGTCCAAAAACTGTCTCAAATAAAAATCTATTCATATAAATTTGTAGTATTCGGGATAAGATAAAAAAAATTGCAATGTAAGGCTAGACCCTTCAGAAAGAAGACTCGAAATAGCTTTTGAATGGAATCTTAATAATTTGGCGGTTTTGACCAAATGAGCTCACTTGAATATGATATGATTTTGATGACTTAAGCACAGTTACACTATCAGCTTAAATATTGGTGAAGATTTTGATAAATAACTTTTCAAGGTCTTATGCACTATACTATTAGTTCATCAGTCTAAATTTATCGGTACTCTCTTTTGGGAACTATAATTCCTATTAATTTATTTCATTGAAATAATATTTATTTCAAAATAAGTTTTGATTTTTTTGCGTCACTAATATATGTGACGTTTTAATATTTATTATACGATGCGTAAATATTTTTTTATTTTTTAAACCAATTTATGTATTCTATATATATTTATAGATTTTATTTACATATTGTGTACATATGTATATATTTCACAAATATTTATATATTTTTTATATGTTATATATTTAAACAACAAATATTATTCTGCACAACTTTTAATATATAAGTAAAATGATCTCATTATAACTATTCATCATCTCAAGTGACTTTTCCCCTAGAGTTTATTCCGTGACACAACATATGATTTAAAATATTAAAATTAATGAGACAAACGCCTACACGCAGCAACTTATCTAGTGCAGAAGCTCACTTCACACTTTTCAATGTCAGTTATAAATAAAAAAAATATTAAATTTTTCTTGAATTCAACATTTTATATTTCATCAAACAAGGTGCACAGAATGCAGTACCTACGCAGAAAATATAATGTAGCATAATAGATAGTTCTTATAATAGATAGTTCAGTTAATTAAATATGAAGGTGTAAGTGTGAATATATAAAATTTAAAGGAGCAGCCCATGAGTTGCTAACTACTTACATTACAATGGCGTCAAGATTATACATTTAGCCTCTTTAACTAGTTAAAGATGTAAATATTTAGATACTTTTGCATTTTGCAGTACTATTTATTCTTAACAAATGTATAAGAAAACATTATTAAGAGATATTAATTAAAATATAAATTAAATTTATTTTTAATATAACTTATGATTTAACTTCAGTTATAATGGAAGTGACTATTTTATTTAATAGAAACTAGTTTATTTGGTAGATAGGTTCCGAAAAGTAGTGAACAATAATAATAGGCACTAGTTCTAAGCCTGGCACTTACAGTCCAAACAAATTATATACGGACTATAAACTAATTAAATAATGCGATTAATTCCTAAGACCACTGATGATAAGTACTTGGCAATACTCGAAACAGCGTTGTATGGTCAGCCAAATTTCAGTAAATTAAATTATTATTAAAATAAATTATTGTCCTTGTCTTTTCTTTGCTTTTCGAATCCATCTAAAATTCTTTATATTGTTTTTAATTAATTAAATTTTTGGCTGACCATAAAGCTGTTTCCAGTATCATTATCAGTGGTCTACTAAATTCAATTAATTAAATATAATATGACGAATTTTTGTTGTTGTTGTTGTTGTTCACAACTTTTCAAAATCTCTCAATTGAGTTTATTAAATTTAATTAAATTAAATTTAAATTAAATATTCAAATATTTTATAAAAAAACTAGCTATTCAAATATTTTATTATTTCATTTTATTAATAATTTTATATGATTCTAATTAAAATTCTAAATATTTATTTATTTTGTAGAGAACATTTTTGTTTAAATTTCACTTTCATATTTTATGAGTTACTTAATTAGTTAAATTTACTTTAGTTTACTTACTTCAAATATTGAAAAACCAAGTGTTATTGAGGAATATAAAGTGGAATACTTTTTAAAAAGCACTTTGAGAAAATAATACATTTGAGAAAAGATTCTCATTGATTTTGCAATATTTTTATTTAATCACATTTTAGATATTCAAATCAGAATAAATTTTTCTTAGTTATGTCAAATATTTCGCATTGCATACCAATTTCTTATAATAAAATATTTATTCCAATTAACTTATTTAAATAAGAAAATGGAATTTGTACCAAAATTCAACTCACCATTATATTTGGTAAACAAATGTTTCAATAAAGCTATAATTATTTAAAATTTTGAATAAAAAAAAAGAATTTGAATAAGAACGTGATACTTATATTAAACTTATGCCAAAGGAATAAGTAACATATTTTAATTGCAAATTATAATATACACATAACCGAATATTCTATTGTACTATAAAAGCAATTAGTTTAATTAAATCATACTATTCAAAAGTTACTCATACGCCCTGATTAACTTTTTTGGCTTTAGTGTTTGCAATGTAAATTTTTAAAGTAAATTTGTAACACTTTATATAGGTTTGTTTTTATAATGGAGCATATTTAAGTACAATGAAATACACAGTTTTTATACATAATAGAAAGTATGTACACATATAAATATGTATTATATACATATACAATGTGTATCTTAACAAATCGCACCGATTTTTCCCTCTAAAAATTAAAAAAATTTTCTAGAGTGTGGAACTAATTTTCAATATTTACAGTGTGATTACAGTGTATTTTAGAGAAGTCTATCATAAAAGTCAAGAAATCAAATAATCCATCATATCTCAACAACGCTTCCTCAAATTAATTAAGGAAATATTTATTAATACTTAAATTTTTTAGTCTTGTAAAAATACCCTAGTTTGGCAATTGATAAAGACTTTGCTCTTAAATGGGTTCAGTAATTTTTTTGAAAATTTTAGATAATTTTATTTTTTTTTTATATATTTTTATAGCAATAACTTGTTATATTTTGTACATTTTACTATAACCAACTTTTGCTCCCGTCATGGAAAGTTTTTTTTTATAATCAATCTTTGAAGTGAACCATTTACTGCCATATA